TGGTTTCCAAAAGCGAAAAAACACTTCCGATGCCATATTTTCATTTCTTTACAATGTTCAGTCCAACATAAATGACAAAGAAACAGTGGCTGCGGTCTTCTGTGATATAGCCAAAGCATTTGAATGTGTGAATCATGAAATTTTTTTACGGAAACTCAGTAGATACGGTACAACTGGAATAAGTCTTAAGTGGTTTGAGTCATACTTAGCAGATCGCACCCAGATGGTCAAAACCACTTCATACTCAAATGAAGGTAAAATTATTTGCGGCGTCCCACAAGGTTCGGTACTGGGCCCACTTTTATTTCTAATTTACATTAATGACCTATCGTCTATAAACATCCATGAAAAATTTACTTTATTTGCTGATGATACTACAATTTTATGGCATGCTCCTAACAACCATACGTTGCATGAAGTTATTGAGAATGACATCACGAAAGTGAAAGACTGGTTTGACTCAAATCTCTTGAGCTTGAATTTATCAAAAACAAAAGTAGTGTCCTATCGTTGCCAGATTCCAGCCGTACATCTAAATAATATTCAAATTGACAACGTACCAACTTCTAAATTCTTTGGCTTGTTCATTGACAATAATTTAAAATTCAACAAACATGTAGATACTTTGAAATCGAAGCTCTCCTCTGGATGTTATGCAATACGAGTAACTGCATTTGAGCTCGGATCTGCAGAAGCTAGAATGGTTTATCATTTCCTTTTCGAATCCTATCTTCGTTATGGTATTTACTTTTGGGGTGTGTGTTCTACCACATGCCTTCAATCAGAATTATTCATACAAAAACGTGCAATACGATGCTTATGCAACGCCAAGCCTAGAGACTCTTGTCGACCTCTTTTTGCCTCTAACAGAATCCTAACTGTGGTCTCCTCATTTATATATGAGACAATCTGCCTTCTCTTCAAAAATAGGGTATTGTTTAACAACTTGGACGCGCCAGTGTATCAAACCAGGCAAAGATTCAGCTTTAAATTACCGCTGCCTTCTTCGAACCTAGTTAAAGATTCCATTAATTACAACGGTCTCAAAATCCTTCCTCAAGCTTCTTAAAGCTTGACGGTGAGGAAGGAAGCTTAGAGCTCTTAAGAAAGAGTTGAAAGACTTGCTTTCTGTGAGACCTTATTATAGCTTAGCAGAATTCTACGATGATAATTTTAATTGAGAAGACTAACTGTAATATCTACGGTATTTGATTGATTTGATTTTATTCAATTCAGTTTAAATTGCTTTATTTAATTTTATTGACCATGTTTTTATATCCTGAACGTTTGTTATTATTTACATGTCTCTTTTCAGTTCATGTTATCACTTACTTTTAGTGATTTTACTTTAGTGATACTTTTGTGATTTCATGTATATGTTATTTATATTTCGCATAAGGCTTTGTCAATAAGAATTTATTCTTCAGACAATAAAGTATATTTGAATTGAATTGAATTGACACATCATTTTGAAGTTCCTGACAAATACTTCACAACCCTAGAATATAATTTCAGTATCTTCAACTAATACAAATAATACAATACATTGACATTCAACTAAATAATATGAGGTAAAAAGTTCGAGGTCAGTTCAGAAGTTACTCGAAATGGTTGCCCTGAGCTTCTGGACATATGAACAGCATATCCGATATTTCACGTCGAACATTTTCGAACACAGTAACGTCAATATTATTCTCTGCCGTATATCCAATATTGAAGCAGGGGTTCAGTTTCGTACACCTTTTGCTTCCAATAGCACCATAAAAAAAGTCCAAAGGTGTCAAATCTGGCGAGCGGGCTGGCCATTCTGTAAGACCTCGACGGCCAATTCAACGACCGGGAAAAGTAGTATCCAAATAGTTTCTCACTCGTCTGGAGTAATGTGGTGGTTCTCCATCTTGTTGGAATACAATATCTATACCTATCGAATTCATTAGGATTCGCTTCGACGATTTCAGTGAAACAGTAATTTCCCTGTTAAATTTTGATCAATAAATAGAGGTCATACAGTATGGTTTACCAAAATTCCTGCCCGAACGTTATTTTTTTCTGGATATTGGGTATGAGTTTCCAGGGTGAGGGTTGGTGTCACTCCAATAACGGCCGTTTTGTCTGTGAACATTGCCGTTTAAAAAAATGTACATTCGTCACTAAAAGAAATATTGTGGAGATAGGTAGGATGCCCTGCAATGATTTCCGTCATGATTTCGCAGAATTCTGTTCTTCGATCAGGGTCATCTTCAGTTAATTGGTGTACCATTTCAATTTTGTATGGATGATACCTATTCCTCTTCAAAAGTATCCACACAGTAGAAGGGGACACCTCACAAACATTCGCCACGGAATAAGTAGACTGTTCAGGATTTACTAACATCTCACTAATTATATCTGCACTTGCTCTTCCGGAATCACCTGGCGGCTTTTCGTTATGTACACTACCGGTAGTTGTGAATTTGAATACAAGTTCCCTCAAATAATTTTTACAGATAGGACGTTTCGGAAAACTTTCATTGAAAATCCTTTCAGTCTCGTGAAATTTACGCGTTGCACCGTATATAAAAATCGCTTCAATTTTTTCTTTCAATGGACGAGAATTGACTATTATAGAGATTGTTGACGTGGTCTAGTAAAACCAAAAACTCAATGAGAATATTCTAACTGACCAACGATATTCATTGTCGTACTGACATTTCTTGTCGTTTTGGTCTACGAAAGGCCGAGTTCTTGTGAGCGACGCGAAATCAACTGCCTCGGATTCTCCTGCAAACTCTCACAGACAGCGGCGATGTTTTCGGCAGATCTAGCGTTTCTTCGACGTACGGGTATTGGTCGATCGTTAAGCGAACTAGTGGACTCAAATTTATCCACCTCATTGTGATAGTTCTCTTGGTAGGACGATTATGGCGACCGTAAAATTGGGGTAGCGCGCGGTACGTTGCCCGAGCAGAACACCAATTTTGATGAAACAATTTTATTATTTGCATGTTTTGTTAAATGCTACCCTACATGGTGATTTAAAATCTGTTTTCCGTTAACCAGCTGTCGCACCCCCACGAACGACAACCCTCAAAAGCTGAAACTTGTGCGAGCTAAGGATTAACGAGGTCTCACCTTTTAACGTGTGATTTGGCCAAACAGACTGATTTGACATCTTCAACAAAATGGCCATTACCAAATGTCAAGTCCCTGTTGGAGGACCCTATATTATTGAAAAACTTGCCTCAGCGAATGATTTCACGTGTTGAACATAGTTTCAGTAACACTGCTAATTTCATTAGAACAATCATTTTCACGGTTCCGCAAATTTGAACCGATTAAATCTGATTAATGTGAACGGACACACGCCAACAGATCGCTTTAACCCTAATACGCAAATTTCTGGGAAATTTCCTGAATTATGCAATTTTCCCCAAGGTTTAACTTCTGAGAATGAGGATCGTCTACTGTTAGCACTTTTCCTTGAATTTTTTCTCCACCATAATCAGTGAATGGTTGCAGGAATGAAGAAATTCATCTACAGGAAAGATATTCATTTCTATTGAGAAAACCGCAGCTTGCGCTCTCAACGTACTAATTAATGATAGGAATAATATAACGCTTTGATGTTCATTTCTTGTTATTCTATTGCCGCAACTCAGTACTCGCTTGGTTTATTAACGAGAGGATTTTATTCGCTGTTTCACCCATTCATCATTCATCCGAAATAATGAAAGAACTCATTTGAATATTTAATTGAATATTTATTGTAATGAAACGGGGAAAATACTTCAGGAATAATCTTATACTAAAATGTTAATCAAAAATACAATGAATCACCGAAAACTTACATTATACTGTATACTATACCAACCAGTTCTGTTTGGACCACGCTGGTATTTTTTCCAATTCCCCCCTTACTCCTTAGGCTTAGTGATCTGTAGTACATGGCACATCATAAGCCTTCTTCAGTTTTTGAGCCGTCTGTATGTATACGTATTGCATTTGACTGACTCAGTGTTCTGTTTTATTTGTATTTTGTAGGATTCATTAAACACAAATCTGGGTTCAATTACATCACTGATTGCCTGCTGCAAAGGTTGCGCAGTAAGCGCTTCTTGCCATAGGCTCAGCCTCAATTGACCCATTCCTACTTCAAGGTTCACACCAGCCGTGCGCAATCGCAACATGGCCATCAACGCAACCTCCTTAACGTACAGGTCATAGCATAGATTGTTACCTATGCTGTGTACAGGTCCAGAGGGGTCAGACCAGTAATTAATTCCATTTCCGCGGTTGGTGTTGTTCTCATGGCTCCTGTGATGTTTAAAGAAGCCATTCGCTGTATTTGGTATAATTTTTGGATGGCTCTTGTTTGTAGAACTTTCAGTCCCCATGCAATGGCTTCGTACGTTAACATATATCTTATTATTGCAGTGTAGATCCAGGTCACCACACGGGGTGAAATAATTACCAGCATCAATGTAAAGGGTACATAATTCTCTATCGATTACTATTCACCATATTAGAATGAACAGTTATTGAAATATGGAGCTACAAAAAGGACAAAACTTTTGAAACAACCTTTTGGAATTTGAAATATCTCAACTGACAAACTGAGTTATTTCCAAGGAATTAGTTAGACTAACTTGGAAGGGTGACTCGAAAATATCCAAAACACAAAAACGAAAGAAAAATCCCATCAGGTCACTTTGTTCTGACTTCCACCTAACATTCATAATGAAAATATAAACATTCGTGGAAAGTGATTTACAACGTAATAAATAAGAGATTGTTGGTACAAATGTATTTTATATGTAACGCCGACTTCACTACAAAAACTGAAAAATCCGGGTTTAAATTAATAATCCATCTTAGCTGATGTTTGTGTCAAGGAAATCGCCGTGTCGCCACACTTCATTTACTCGAAATAAAAAAAAAACAGAAAGTAAAATGACCAGTCGAAATGAATAACCCTGTAGCTAGCCAACAAACCAGTGAACCACAGCTTTCCTTTACAAAACCGTAACTATAAATACCTAATTATACTCACTTGCAAATTAGTTGCAATCGATCTCTCAATCAAAATGAATAGTATCTGTATACTATTTCTTCTATTTGGTACCGCTCTGTGTGAGAATGCCCCAGTCTACAAGTACCGTTACGAAACAGAAGATGTGATGAAAACAGCTGCCTCCAATGTACCCGTACATGGATACCACGTCGTGGAAGGTGGCTACTACCCCTCACATATTGGACTGGGAGGAATTGGAAGCCAAGGCTTCGGTGGGGCGGGGTTTATCGCGGGAGGTGGAGGGTATGGAGGCCAATATCTTGGAGCAAAGTTAGCACCCATTGGAACTATAGGACTGGAGGCACCCCTTGGGGGGCAGTACATTGGCAAGAACATAGCTCCTCTTGGAGTGGTTCCCGTAGGATATGGGGGTATCAATGGTCCAATTAATGGCGGTTTGGGTCCATTTGGGGGACAAGGAATTGGTTACGCAGGGGCGGGTTTGATTGGTGCTGGAGCTGGATATGGTGGTGCAGGAATTGGTTTGGTGGGACCGCAAGGGTATGGGGGAGAGGCCATAGAAAAAGAGAACTTCAGTGGTGGCAAGAAGAACTTTAATGATGAGAGCTACGAAAAGAGCCAAGGCAAGAAAGGGGAGGAAGTCAATTATGGCGACTCTGGATATTCGAATGGACAAGTTGCTGTCAAAGACGTTAAGGGCGATTCTGGATACTACAATAATGCCGATGGCGAGAAGAAAGTATACGAGGATGGAAAGCAATATGCCGGAGGTCAACATTTCAATAAAGAAGGTGAGTTTTCAAACAACGGTTTTCAACTGCAAAATTTCAATTGCGAAATACAAAAAATAAAAAATCTTGAATGACATGAGCCAACCGATATGCTAACATCCTTAGCGACTTCTCTAATAGTCATTCGACGTCACTCATCACTGAAATCGTCGATTTGTGTTTGGAGTAATGTGGTGAAGCACCACCACACCAACTATTTGGATACTAATTTTCCCGGTCGTTGGATTGGCCGTCGAGATCCTACAGAATGACCAGCCCGCTCGCCAGATTTGACACCTTTGGCATTTTTATGGGACAATTTGAAGCAAAACGTGTACCAAACTGAACCTGATTCAATATTGGATATACGGCAGAGAATAATACATATTTGTAGAGATATTGACGTCACTGTATTCGAAAATGTTCGGCGTGAAATATCGGATAGGCTGTTCATGTGTCAAGAAGTTCAAGGCAATCATTTCGAGCATCTTCTGAACTGACGTCACGCTTTTAACCTCGTATTATGTATTTAAATGTCAATGTATGCAGGAATTTATTAAAAGTTCCGCCATTTTGTAGTAGTTGAAGACATTGACATCATATTCTAGGGTCGTGAAGATTTCGTCAGGAGCTTCAAAATGATGTGTCACAAGACCCCCCTTTCCACTTGATTTTTTTGCAGATGGCAACCAGTCGCCATCTTGAATTTCAATTTAAAATAAAGTATTCATGCATTAATTTCATTATCCCAAATTTAAATTTTTTATGTTGGTCCGTTGTAAAAATAAAAGGGGGGGAAAGAAATGTACTGTATAAAAGTTGCTAATCCAATGTACGGGAAATTTAAAAATTCACCTTATTTTTTGAACAGCCCATGTGTATCCATCTCTTGATTGGTTATGAAATTACTCAATTAGTTTATCGAGACACAAAAGAATATTCTAGTCCTTCAAAACTACCTCGCGAAACGTAGCAAATCTGCCAACTCAGTTGTAAACATTACTCAATACTACAATGAACTTCGATCCTGGCGCAAAAAAACGATTCCGTTCGATTTCAAAGCAAATCCAATTTCACGCTCTTTTAATTCTAGGTAAGAATGGCGAAGAAAAAACCGTAAAACAAGGCCACAAGAAGGGACACAAAATCAAGAGTTTCAAAACCTCCCACCACAAAGACGAGAACGGCAAGACGGAAGAATATTACGACGAAGCTCACGACGAAGGGGGAAATTACGTTTTCAACGGCCAGACAGGAAATTTCGGAGAAAACGGGGCTTCCTCTTTCAAAGGCGGTAACCAAGAAGAAAAATATGCCTCCGGGGAGAATAAGAAAGAAGGCCATTATAGCAATGAGCATCTGGTTGATAAAGTGGACGCCAGTCAAGGGAAATACGGGGGCAACAAGTTTGCCGGAAACGAGGCCGTGTACTCTCACAAAAATGGCGCTGATGAGCAGAGCCTTTTAGGTCACCAGGAATCCAGCAAGTTATATAAACACAACCCGTTTGTGGTTCCTTTTCACCGCTACTGAATGACTAAACTTAGTTGGGGGTGGTGAAGGTTCTGATGCAAACGCCATTTATTTATTTATATGTTTATTATGCGTTGTACATGGTTTATTGTTTTTATTTTATAAGTTATTTGAATTGCCGAAATAATTTTCAGATAACTATGGCGACTGAGGCAACAATAGTTTTCCCGTTTTCTTGTACATTTTTATCTTGAATAAACGTTGAAGATTGAATGTATATAATTGTATTCTTCCTGAATTCATAATCCTCACGATAACAATTGAAGAAAAACATTCGAATAAATTATATTCTTTCATTTTTTATCAGTTGAACAATCGAATAAAAATATCGTCAAATGTTTGATAACCAAATGAAATGAACCCAGCAGCTGTTATACAAGTCCACTGCGCATATGAAAAACTTCTGAATTGAGTAGTTTAAAAAGAAACGATATTGAAGAAAATTTACCAAATTGCAAAAATCGATGAAACTAAAATAAACTGTGTTTAGAGTTTGGCTTTATAAAACTTATTTGCTTTTGTTCAGATCACTGTGAACAGCACAAACGTGCTGGGTTGAATTTTCTAATGCATCGTTTTTTGACGTTTCCTCTCCTCTCACACATGAGGGGTTTGCAAAACAAAAAGTGACAATACAGGAAATATTGACCGTAGATTCTGATAATTACAAAATGTTTATATCGCTAGGACTATAATACACATCCCTCTTTCAGGTGGAAGTGTATGCTATCTTGCAGTGTGCAAGGCTTATTAAATTGAGACCTTAAAGAAATGAGCGGATCAATATTTTTACAGACATCAAGAACGCACTAGGGGCTCTGACAAACCCGAAGGTGACATCAAAACTGGTCTGGGAATGCCATGAAGGGTTGAATGAACTTGCAAACAGGAACAAATTAATGCCAGAGCATTCAGGAATCACAGGCAATGATAAAGCTGATGAATGCGCTAGACACGGATCATCAACTTCATATATAGGTCCCGAACCAGCTCTGGGGGTACCATAATCATTGGTATGATTAGACATGATTAGGACATGGACCAATAAGAAGCACACAGAGTACTGGACAAAAGTACCTGGCAACAAACACAGTAGAACCTTTATTAGGGAACCGTCCGAGAAAAGAACCGAAGAACTACTTCAATATAGTAGGGATCGGCTCAGAATAATTACAGGGTTACTAACCGGTCATTGTCCGCTTAGAGGACACCTGAATAAAATGGGGCTGTACAACGGAGACCTCAGCTGCAGATTATGCAACGAAGGGATAGAAACAGCTCTACACATCTTATGCGAATGTGAGGCACTGAATCACAGGAGGCAGGCAATATATGGACGTACAAAATTACGCCCAGAAGAATATGAGGAACATCCAACACGGAACCTGTACAAACTAGTACAGGGAACGAGACTGATGGAATGGGTGTCATGAGAAAATGGGAGAATAAAATCAATAAGCCCAAAAGGCTGCAGTGTTTTCTGGAAACTTGGACTAAATGGACAAGTCAGACAGCTCCCAATCAGAAACCAAAAAAAAAATGTAAAGGCGAGCTTCAAAACATCATAGAATTAAATTGATGGATGTAGCCGTTACTACGTGGTAGGAGATCATAATGAAAAGAGAAATGGAAATTTCTATGTTTTTTACCACTTTTATTTAGTTTCGTCCTATATGGACGAATTTAATATATAGGGCCAAATGTATCAAATCAGACATCTGCAGACTCAGAAATCATAAATAACTCTTTTAGAAAAAAAAATTACATATTTGTTTCATAGCGACCTTCGTTTTATTCCGCGCTGAAATTCTCATTTTGTTGAACATTGCAAACCNGAGATTTCGTCCATACCGGAAGATGATTTGTTCTTCATTTCAAATAAGGTTTTTGATATTTCGTATTCGGTGATGGATGGCGATTTAAATGGACATTTGATATTGATTTCCTTAGCGAGGGTGCATGGAAGGACCATGTTCTGTCCTAAGTGATTTGACATAGCTATTTCTGCTGCATTGGAGAAATGATCGGCAAACACTTCTGCAGTCACAGTTGTGTCAGATATAAGACAATTATTTGTTGTAAGAATAATATCATTTTTTGGGTTACTATTTTTTCTTCCTAATTCATAATTTCAATCAATTTTGAGACAATTAAGACACAGGTACCTAGCATAGGTATCTATGGTATGAATGAGGACATGTATATTTAGTTTAATCGTCCTCTTGAAGATGATCACTTGGTGATCGAAATACGTGTCTTGGTGTTAAAAATGACAGTAATGTTTATTACCACACCAAAGGTTTTTAAACAGTGATCACATGTGCTTTTGTTTATTGGAACCCCCATGAGAAATGTCTAAAAGGCAGAAACATTTTCAATTTGAAGAAAAAGTAATGAAATATTTTAGATATGCAGAATCATTAGCATATAATTATAATAAAAACATGTACAAAAACTGTATGCACAGTTTTTTGGTAGAAAACTAGATTCAAATGTTTCAAATACTTTCGTGCGATAGTTGGATGAATAGCAGATCAAATGTTTGTGTCCAGGGAATATATAATAAACAAATAAGATATGTGGTACTTTAATTTTTGTTAGCATAAACCAATGCAGTGCCATATTCACACTGTATATAGATTTTGCTTTTCCAATTATGTATTGTCACTGGATGTTTCTGCAATTCTGGAACCCTTAGGTCCCAGTCGAGATGATGGTAAACGACCAGATGGTGTATCTCTCATACCATAGAAATAAGGTAAACCTGTGGAATGGGACTTCACTTGCGTTGACACGGTCGCGGCTTCTCATCTAGCGGAAAGTTCGAACTCTGCTGGAGCTGCAGCATTGTCTGGCGAGAAATTGAAAAGAAAAAAATAGCAAAATCTTGGTAACAACTATCTGTTTCATCCAGTAGCAGTTGAAACTTTTGGTGTTTATGGCCCTGAGTCTCTGTTATTCGTTCATGAATTCGGAAGGAGAATAGGCCAAGCAACGAAAGATCACCGTTCTACCTAAATTTGATAGAAAGAATTAGTATTGATATTCAACGTGGCAATGCTGCTTCGGTCCTTGGAGCTATTCCTCCTTCACATAATTTTGATGAGATCATGCATTGGCCTAATTTCAGTACGGAACTGAAATCTCTTCGAAAAAGACCGAGATATATGTATATTCTTCAGTCTTCTATCAAGGTTAATTCACAAGTGAATGATCCACCTTCTTCTTTTTCAGTGCGGTCAATGGACTTAGATCATTCTTGCCCCCCAAATATGATTTGCAGTCTTCGTAGTTCAGGTTCCCTTTCAGTGGAAGAGCTTCATGAAGCAAGAGCCGAATTGATCCCTCTACGAAACCCTTCTTCACTTGGAAAGATCGATCGCAGCTTGTGAAATGGTTCTTATGGAGATTCTGTGAAACGTGTTCTTCCTTACGAATCAGTAGAGAATGGTCCTGAAAATCTCGAGAAAAAAATTGGATTGGATAGTTTAGGAAACACTTGCTACATGAATAGCATTTTACAAGTGTTGTTCATGACGAAGAATTTCAAGAACGAGGTTTTAAGGATGAACGAGAACGGAAGCAAGAAACTCTTTCGAAGGTTCGAAATAGATGAACATTTCAATCTAGCAGACCACTTTTATAATATTCGTGCAGTCATGGTTCACTGTGGTTCTGGCGTTGAATTTGGTCATTATTACGCCTTGGTCAAAGACGAAACGGACTGGTTTAAGTTTGACGATAGTCGTGTCACGAAGTGTTCTGGCGATATATTGAATCCATTGGAGCCTCTGGAGACACCCTACATTTTGTTTTATGAGAGAGGACATTGGCAGGTCAAGATCATCAGATGATGTGGTGCTGCAGGTTCTTCCGGGTTTTCCTTTAGCTGAAAAAGCAAATGCGCCACTGTAATCAATGAAGTCGTCCCGGACTGCCAATTAATTTTTATTGTTGTTTTTATTTCCATCGATGTTGAGAAATAAAGAGAAAACATTTTCTTCAAAATCAGAATCCATAAAAGCTAGTTCACAGTGAACTTTTAAGTTTGCCTTCATTTCATTTGAGAAAGAGAAACATGATGATTTCTGTCGATCGTTCAAATCGAGTTTAGGAAAAAAACATGTACGGGGTGTCTCAAATACGTCAGCGTGGAAAATAATGATAAAATAATAATAATGAACGAAAAATCGGATTGAAGAAAAAAACATGGCCACGGGCGTTAAAGAAAACAACATGGTTGTCAACGTAATAGAAAAAAACATGGCTGCCATACAAGGTGTACGTCGGCGTGAAAAATAATGGTATTATAATAATAATACAAGACTGAATAGTGCAGAATAGCAAAAATAAGTTGATAATTGATAGTATTAAATGCACAGCTAAAGTCCAAAAATGTAGACTACAGCCGTGCATTTGACACTATCTATTATCAATTGATTTTTGGCTATTCTGCACTATTTAGACTTATCAGTATCAGGAAAGAGAGTTAACTATGGTGATAACAAAATAAAATTTGTTCAAGAAATGTCTCAAAAGCCAATATAATTGATCATTTGAACGAAAGAAACAATCGAAGAGTGAACTAATTTTGTTCAAGAGAGCTACCAACACTTTGAGAACTCTACTGTTAATGCACCACTAGAGAAATGAAAAAAATGTATTACAGTTTTTGATAACTTTTGATTATTAACTGCAGTTTCGTACTAACATTTTCAGAAACTACCCCATTACAGAAATATCATCTGGTTTGTTCATAATTTCCCTGAAGCAAGGAAGTCGTACTTCCCGGTTTACCTACATCCTCATAGACTAATTGTCATTTCCAATTCATTTTTAATCAAGACTAATTAGTGACAAAGGCTCAACGTTCACTTTTTCCCGCACCTCTCGAATAATTCGTCGTGTAAACATTGTTCAACGCTAACCAAGCATTAAATTACTTCTTTTTACTCCAACTTGAGTAATACCAAAGCGAACTGTCATCCACCAATAATAAGCCAAACTTTTTCAGATTCATAATAACCTTTAAGGTCACACAAATAGATCGGGTTTACCTGCCACAATATCGCCAATGAAAGAAACATACTTTATTAATTCAGAAACTAGTCAACCAAAACCACCCGAGTATAAATACATTTATTACAATTCATCGATATTCAGTTTCGGTCTATTCTTCTGTCAAGATGCTTCATTCGGTTATCTGCACTTTCATACTAAATGTCATAATTGTCGGAGCTATAAAGTTTCATCCCACCGAAGTAGGGATTGGTGGTAGTGAACAATTCGGAATCGTCCCTTTCGGGGAAAAATACACCAACGTCGAGTACGGTTCTGGAGTAGGATACCCACATGGTCTTGGGCAAACAGCTTACGCATACAATCCAAAAATCGCCTACGGAGGTGGATATGCTGCGCATAGCCCGAATATCGCCTATAACGTCCCAAAGGCTGCAGGATTTGGTCCTGCTGGTGTGGGCCATGAAAGTTTCGTATTAGGGTATAAAGGTACAGAAGGGCTGGGCATAGGATCTGGGCAAACCTTAGGCGGCATTGGTTATGCGCCTAAAATTGGCGCAGTAGGTATACATTCCGCTGGAATCGGATACGGAGGTGTTGGAGGAGGAATAGGATATGGTGATGGAGTTCAAGGAGTTGGCTATGGTCATTATCCTGCTGTGGGAATTGCCAAAGGCCCTGGATACGGGTAAGGTGTAAATTTTTAAGATTCATGAACATTTCAATAAACAAATTCAACTGGTCTTTATTAGATATATAATTTTTCGATTATAGAAAGAAAATATAAATTTCTCTTACCTCTCTTACTGTTTGTTTTGCTCAAAATAATTTTCCAAATCCAAAATAAATGAGAAAGTTGTTATCTTGAAAGTAGGCCACTTGTACACCTTTGATTTTGATAATGAAGTATTGATCTAAAATGAAACATAAAATGAATCGTACAAAAATACAAAAACAATTTCTATTCAGTAGTGAAATGGAAAGTTCTAGATCAGTTGATTTATTTCTAGTTTAGTGACAGCAGAGTGCTAATAAAGGAAAATTCTTTAAGTCCTTTGTCAAATGAAATTTTCATGGTTAACCTAGAGATAGATAGATAAACGTGAATCACTCAAGGTTTTTTTTTAAATTGGCTGTCACTAGTCTGGTAAATATATTACAATAAAGTTGCGTTTTCCATTTCAGATATGGACCAGGAGTGGGTTACGGCATTCCACATGCCGGGGGTCTGGTTTCTACACTAGGACATGGGGGATTAGGTGTAGGAGGAGGTAACTTCATCGGTGGTTCGCAAATCGACAAAAATATCTACAACGCAGAAAACAGGAATGTTATCGGGGACCATTACTCAGCAAGTCATGGTAAAAACGGGGAAGTACTGAATCACGGAGATGCAGGATTTACAACAGGACAGGTTGCTTTGAAAGACATCAAGGGGGAGACAGTTCATTTTTCAGATACCGATGGAGTGAACAATGCACACCATGCTGGTAAAGCCTACCATGGTGGAGAGCATTTTGATAAAGGAGGTGGGTTGCATATCAAAATAAATTTTCCAGAACCAGAGTATGAAAAGGATATAATCAAAATTAAGGAATATGAGAGCAAGATCAAAAATACTAACTAGTTACTTGAAGAACAAAATTTTTTTTTGGAAAAAACATTACCTGAATTTTTTTCCAGTTTTGTTTAATTAGGTAGGTAGATCAAATGATTTAAGAGGCAACTCAGTGAATTCATCTTCTTCTTCCAACGTTCAAAATGAAATGATGTAAACAAATTTCAGAAAGAAGGCTTCCTTTAATTTTTTCACCCCATTAACATGAATTTCTCAGTAATATGATTCTTCTGATTTTCTAAGATTTAATTCAGCCTTCCAAGAAAAATATTCAGATCAATTTCGATAATTATTTTTTTTATGCAATACTCCCTGTTGAACTTTTCAACATAGCAGTGACCAAAATTGATATTTTCCTCTAACCCTAGGCCATCTCTTAGGTTCCAAGAGTTTTTCCAAATAACGATTTATATTTTTCGTATTATTATACCTGTAGGAATTCACCTTTGTTATTTAACCTCGTTATTGAAACTCTAGATTTCTACATCATGCAAATGATCACATTTTTCATGGTTTCTGTTGTTCTGATTGTCTACATGGACTGGTAAATTTGTTTATAGAAGATGATGCATCCTTTTTGAACGAAATTTTTCATGCATTAATACATCTTTATTGATATCAGAAAAAATTATGACATCCTGAAATCAAAGTGTGACAATATTTAGAAGAATTTATCCAGCTGGTGTGGATTTAATGTTTTATTCTTCAATGTATATAAAACTAATTTGATTCGTTTTCATTTTCGACAGAAAACTTGCTCGCAAATCAAGTTTCAAATAGATAGTTCGATTATGAAAAATATAGACTACGAAAGTCCTTAGAATAGGTATAGAGAGAAACCTAGAGAGAAACCTTGATAGAAAGATTCATTGCCAGATCGTAATGAATAAAATGAATTCTCTTGCACACAAGTTTAGGACTACAAAGCGTATTTTAAAGAAAAATCCTTTGCTAATATTCTATTATAGCTTAGCAAATTCTTGTCTCAGATTTGGTATGTTTTTGTGGTTATTCCACATTGTTTCTGGTGTTTTTATAGCTCAGAAGTCGATTTAAAAAATCGCAGGAATAAAGAAAGGTAGCTTATGCAGAAGCACAGTGAAAAAACTATGTGTTTTAACTCAGCCATCTCTTTTAATTTTGTTGTTCACAACAAACATGAATTGAAACAGGTGAAAGATATTCAACTCAGAGACAAGGGGCAAAAAAATATTATGTGCCATTTTGTAAATACAATACTCTGCAAACTAAAAACTGTATTTAGTTTGATCTTCCTCTTGAAGATAATCACTTGGTGATCGAAACACGTGTCGAGGTGTTGAAATAACGGTTTGGTATTGGAAAAACTCCAGTAATATTCATTACTACACCATACATGACAATCAAAAAACCTTTTTAAGAAACAGTGACATACAAAGATACAAAGAATACAAAGAAAATAGATAACTTTTACATGCCTTTCAGAAACATGGAATTATCCAAAGAAGCACCAAATACTTTTGGTTTGTACCTGTACAACTTTCTTCCATACACTCTAAGAAGTCTGCCAATTTATACATACATGATAGATCAGTGTCCTTACTTAATTCAAGAATTTCTAGAATTTAGTTTCAATTTCATACCATTTGACTTAGAGATTGTTAAAATCACTTTAATTTTATTCATATAATTATATCTTCTCAATGTTCTGTGTTTTATTTGTAGGATTTTTTCCAAATTGACCTGCTCATAACTTTGTGAGTTCCACAGGCTTGATTGATAATGATTTTTCAGGTAAACACGGAGCCGAACAAGTCCTAAACGAGAATCACAAGAAAGGACACAACATCAAAAGTTTCAAAAAATCCCATCATCTAGACGAGTCGGGTAAAACCGAAGAGTTCTACGACGAAGATCACGATGAGGGAGGAAATTACGCCTTTGATGGTCATGTTGGAAAATTCGGACAGAGTGGCAAGCGATCAAAATTTTCAATGCTTTTTCCGTTTCGGGAAAGAAGGAATTTGTTTCTTTTAGGACATCAACAACTGTAAGATTTGTTAGATTTAAGCCTCTCGTGCCACAATTGCTGCCAAAGTTCAATTTCATTCTTTATGTTCGGTAAATCATAAAACTGGACAATAGATTCACAAGTTTGTTTCAGATTTTCAGTTGTCATCTTCTGCATCTGCGCCGGGTGTAACTTAGATAACGTATTTCAAGGGAGGTGATAATTGAATCCAAGTATGGTATTACTAAAGACCTCTTTTAGTATTCTGAAGGGCTTTCTGCTGGATGATTGTTTCTATGACGTTGTTTTCCCGTAATACGCGGCATTGATGTAATGTCCTCCTCCAGTCCGACTTTCTCCGCAACAGCAGTAGCTTCCTTTATAATTTCGTCTGTCACTTTTTCCGAATTTAGGCTTTGGCCACGCCTATGGCTAATGATTGGAGTACGTTGACAAAGGGTTCCATCAAAGCCGAGTATTTGGCTACCAACATAATCGTGAGAATGAAAGAAATTCTGGAAGTAGCCGCATGCAGTTGGAAGACGCTTTTCCAAGTTGTACTATTTCCTTCCTGAGATAATGTTTGTAAGGCCTCCAGAGTTATTGGAAGATTTTTTTAAAAACTCTGACGGTGTTGTGTTTCTCATCCATCTTGTATCGCAAAGTGTACCCCTCTGTCTTTTCCTGGCATCGTTGAACAACCATCAAAACCAAAACCAACGCATTTATTTATATTCAGATCTTCGTTTGTCAGAAACGCATCTATGCTATATGCAATCAGTTTCGCATCCAAATCTTTTAGCTCAATGAATCCGACAAACATTTCTTGGACTTCCTGTGTTTCTTCATCAAAATATCGCATACCAATAGATAGTTGTTCAGTGCCAGAAATATCAGTTGTTTCGTCTGCTAGCACACTATATGCTGCTGCTTCTCTCACTTTTTTCATGATAGCAGCCTCAATAACGCTTCCACAAATACCATAATTTCATTTTGAATATCTACTGAACGGTAGCTTGCATTCTTTTTCCTTTGCTCACTGTGACTCTTTAAAATCAAATCTCCCGCGTCAATGCGCAGCCTGTCGTAGAAAGAAATTCAATGCACATAACACACACACACACACCATACCTACATCATACGTAGGTACTTTTACATTGTTTGATGGCAAATCTGATATAGTCGTGATGATAATGGCGGCGATTTTAAAAACGGATGTCAAAATCTTGATATTATTCTGAATATTTCAATACTTTCTACAATATACATTGAACCTTGTGAATTTATTTACGTTTTGCCATGCGATGCGGGACTTATTAATAGGTAAGGAAGTCAGTTACTCACACTTTGGTCGCTTTGCGGCTAGCTACATTTGATCTCTAGGTGGGGCAATGCGAGCCCCCCTGCCCTCCGTTGACGACGCCCTTGGTGTCTACTATTATGAAATTGTACTATAGATGTAAACATCTGATTGCGTTGGTCTATTAGTACAGTAGATTGTTATTTTCATGTCCTCGAATTCTTGCTCAACATAGACATGTGACTTCAGAGTGTGTCAGAAGTATGAACCCACAAATATTAAGCTAGATAATGTATCACCTCAGTAAAACGAGCAAATCGGACAGTTGATTGTATTTTGCGAATTTGGAGTTCTCTTCTAGAAACATAACTTATTTGAATATGTATCACTAAGATAACAAAAGCTCTGGCCATCAGGTTTTGAATATATTGAGGTTATGTACAATCTACGACTATATTGCTCAAAAGATAAAAGTGCCTACAAGCTATGATTATTTCTCTTCATCCCCTTCCATTATCATTTCCATTTTTTCTCATGATCACCCCTTTATTCGACTACAAATTTAGCACAATTTATTTTTTATCTCGAAAACAGATAGAGATAGGTATAGGATATTATTAACAAAAAAGTATTAAAATATCAGAGCGATTCCAAAAATTTATTAATATACGGGGTGTTCCATTTAAAAAAATAAAGTTGCTAGGACTTTTTGATGGAAGTGGCAACGCCGCAATGCTGAAAACATTTTAGATCGATAGAACAGGTAAGGAAATGTGAGAGGTGAAATTTTCAGAACAATCATGCTTTGCGTTTTCCAGAAACGTCTAACCTACCATCGACCGTGAGTCAAGCTGTATATATCTCCAGAACCAAAAGAGCTATATTCGATTTTTTACATCATTGAATAGGTGTCCAAAATACGCAACTTCACCACAATTCAACCGATACTCTATCTCTCACCGTTTACGAGATCCCCATGTACAGAGACGAATTTGAATAGCCCTGTATATTATATCATATGAATCCCAATAAACGATTACACTCGTATCACCCGTTTTCTTTATGTGGAATCCATTATTACTCTTAATCGCATTGTTACTGTTTAACAAATAATACTTCGGTAATTGAACAAACTTTTGTTCTTCAGTCCTGATGAATGGTCTACTTACAACAATGGGTGGTTCAATGTCGAATCACTCCACTTTTTTCTTCCGACAATTATAATTTTGAAGGTTGGACATTCTCACGCAGACCAGAAGTATTATTCATCAATAATGAGATATTACCTATTCAACCAAAACGTTTCTCCACAATCATTTCACTATAAATACATTTTGAATAAATAAAAGCTCAGTTAGGTACCTCAAGCATTGCATAAAAATGTTGTCTTCACTTTGTTTCTTATTTTTTATTGCATGTACCTGCTATCCTGTGGCTGGAGACCTGGAGGGATATTTTGGAGGGCACGGGCCCCCCTTTGGAGGACTCGGATCCCATTTCGGTGGAAGACCTGGCTTCGCGGGACACAAACTAATCCATGAAGGAGTCGGTTTTGGTCAACATTTCGGCGGAGTAGGACCCTCTCATATATCTCCTGCTTTTTCCCATGGGTTCGGAGGAGCTGAACTCCACGGAGGTTCAGAAATAGGTCATAACAGTTTTCGGGGAGGAAGCAAAGCTTTGAATGGAGGTAATTTCCATAAATTACATGGAGTTTCGAGCGGAGAAGTGAACCACGATGATTTAGGGCATTTCAAAGGGGAAGGAGCATTCAAGGATGTCAAAGGGGAGTCTGCTCATTTTTATGACGCAGATGGCGGAAAGAATGCACATCATGATGGGAAGAATTACTACGAAGGAAAACATTTTGGAAATGAAGGTAAGTGATTTTCTCGTGCTAATGGAGAATCCAAGATTTTTTTCTGTAACTTTTGAATCAATATCAAGAAAATTATCATCACTACCTTCATACTGTAGTCGAATCAAACTACCCTGTTAAGTGACAATTATTTATACTATAATTCCAAAATAGTAGGCACTAAATTCTCAGAAATGACTGACGTTCTGCCTTAGTCTGTCTCTTGCAGTGGCGTAGAAAAATTATTCTAAACAGATGAGGAAACATAATGATAATATATTTAGAATCACAACCAATGACAACAATGTTTTTGTTTTAATGCTATAATATTTCTGAGAATTTAGTGTCTACCAAGGGCGTCGCCAGCTTATGACTAAGGATAAAACTGGACAATAGATTCACAAGTTTGTTTCAGATTTTTAGTTGTCAACTTCTGCATCTGCGTCGGGTGTAACTTAGATAACGTATTTCAAGGGAGGTGATAATTGAATCCAAGTATGGTATTACTAAAGACCTCTTTCAGTATTCTGAAGGGCTTTCTGCTGGATGATTGTTTCTATGACGTTGTTTCCCCGTAATACGCGGCATAAATGTAATATCCTCCTCCAGTCCGACTTTCTCCGCAACAGCAGTAGCTTCCTTTATAATTTCGTCTGTCACTTTTTCCGAATTTAGGCTCTGGCCACGTCCATGGCTAATGATTGGAGTACGTTGACAACGGGTTCCATCAAAGCCGAGTATTTGGCTACCAACATAATCGTGAGAATGAAAGAAATTCTGGAAGTAGCCGCATGCAGTTGGAAAGCACTTTTCCGAGTTGCACTATTTCCTTCCTGAGATAATGTTTGTAAGGCCTCCAGAGTTATTGGAAGATTTTTTTAAAAACTCTGACGGTGTTGTGTTTCTCACTCCATCTTGTATCGCAAAGTCTGGAAGTATCAGGTATCAACTTCCTCCTCAAAACTGATTCCCGAAAAAAGTTTATAGTACCTTTGGTGGTTCCCATGGCATTTCTACTTTCAGAAAATGAATTTAGATCATTGATAGATTCAGTTTGTGGGACGAGCAATGAAAGTAGGGGGCTTTGGTGTACATTTTGTGTAAGATCACTTGTACCCCCTCTGTCTTTTCCTGACATCGTTGAACAACCATCAAAACCAAAACCAACGCATTTATTTATATTCAGATCTTCGTTTGTCAGAAACTCATCTATGCTATATGCAATCGATTTCGCATCCAAATCTTTTAGCTCAATGAATCCGACAAACATTTCTTGGACTTCCTGTGTTTCTTCATCAAAATATAGCATACCAATTGATAGTTGTTCAGTGCCAGAAATATCAGTTGTTTCGTCTGCTAGCACACTATATGCTGCTGCTTCTCTCACTTTTTTCATGATATCAGCCTGAATAACGTTTCCACAAATACCATAATTTCATTTTGAATGTCTGTTGAACGGTAGCTTGCAAATATTAAGCTAGATAATGTATCACCTCAGTAAAACGAGCAAATCAGAGAGTCGATAGTTTTTTGCGAATCTGGAGTTCTCTTCTAAAAACATAACTTATTTGAAGATGTATCACAAAGATAACAAAAACTGTGGCCAACAGGTTTTGAATATATTGAGGTTATGTACAAATATGCCTTGTAGCCGAAGTACCAGCTAAGTTGATGAGTTTTTGAAACCCACTACAATCTACGACAATATTGCTCAAAGGATAAAAGTGCCTACAAACTATGATTATTTCTCTTCATCCCCTTCCATTATCATTTCCATTTTTTCTCATGATCGCCCCTTTATTCGACTACATCTAGTATGAAAACTTTTCATTTATTTCAATAAAAAATTGAAACCGACAAAACTTTTGAAACAACTGAAATCAAATCAAATATACTTCATGGTCTGAAAAACGTAATTCTCATTGACAAAGTTGTTTACAAATAAAAAGAAAAGACAACGATCATCTTTAGATATTTATCGATTTAATAAATAGTCAGGTAGGAAAACTAATAATAATTATAATTAGAATACAGTAGACGCACAAATAAATAAAAAAAATACTGCAACATTTTCATCTTACTGGTCAACAGATATATATAATTCAAGTACTTGAAAAAAAGTAAATATCATCACAATACACATTTTTTTCATTTATAACACTGAAACTCATTAACAACAAACATTTGCAATTATAAAATGCAATTGCATGTACAAAATAGGTTTTGAAATTATCAGTATAAACAATTGCTTTGTACCAATTCATAACAGTGGTTAAAGTTACTAAGATACATTAACAACAAACATGTGTAAATATAAAATACAAGTTCAATATAAATATAAACATATACATTCTAATGATAATGTATAGATAACTAGGATTTGAAGAAAAAGTCGGATTTCACAAATTTAAAGTTCTTACAGTAAAATTCATGCAATAAATAGAAAGCAATCGTCAATAGAATATTTTTACGGTATGTTTGAATTGTTTATTATAATCTTAAAATTTTTATCTCATTTGATAGGTGATAGAATAATTTGTTACCGTTATAAAATATGGTATTTTTTATTTGTGTCGATGTTGGAACTGGTAGTGTCATATTCAAATTCAGTGCTAATATCTTCCTCTGCTTTTTCTTGTTCATGCCTTTCATCAATGAATAAAAACTATTCATCATTTTTATTCCAGTCATTAGTTCTCATACAGTCGAATTTTAATTTTTGTCAAAACCCACTCGTCTAAACAAAACTGTATTCAATGAATATTCCACTTAGGAAAAACCGGTGCCGAGAAATCAGCCAAGCAAGGTCACAGAAAAGGACACACAGTGAAAGGTTTCTCCACTTCCCACCACAAGGACGAATCGGAAAAAACAGAAGAGTTCTTCGACGAAGCCCACGACGAAGGTGGCAATGCCGCTTTCCATGGCCAGTCTGGCAAATTCGGAGAAACTGGAGCCTCTTCTTCCAAAGGTGAACACTTGGATGGTGAATTCAAGGCAGGAGAATCTAAGAAAGGGTTCCACTTCGACAAGGAGTCCGTTAACGGCAAAGTTCATGGAAACCAGAGACAATTCGGTGGCAAGAAGTTTAACAACCATGGGTCGGCGTTGGGGGAGCACAAAGTTTTAGACGAAGATGATGTTGAAGCCCACCATGGGTCTAGCAAGCTGTTCGAACATCGGCCAAGTTTTTATTAGAATATTTTTAGAGTTTCACCACCGTCCTACATATCACTTGAAATGATATGAATGTCTATTTAGAACTGTAGTATTATTGAAATGTTTGGCAAAATAGTAGTTTCTGAAGGTAGTTGAGAAAGGACGATTTGGAAATGGGCCTTTTTCGAATATAGGCCACCAAGTTTTTTAGCCATATCTATTTATTAGCAATATTAACTTATATTTACTTTAATAAATCATCTGCTGCATATTTTTTATGGCTTTTCATTTCATAGTATAAAATTTTAAATATAATTGTGCTTTCTTTCAAGATAAAATTGAATTAAATTGATTTCCAATTGAAAATAATTAGGTCTGTTCTCTTTTCGCTTTGTACAAGTCAAATTATCAAACATGAAATGTTGTTGAATGCACCTTCATGCAGACGATACTACAAATTAATGCTAGTAAATCGAATAATCTAGTCTTTGATCCAGAAATTAATAGAAATTTGGTAAAAAGTCTGGTGGAAATTAAAATGGGATAAGATAAACTCGAAGTGGTGCTAAAAACCTAAGAGTCATTATGGATTAGAATCTTCGTTTAGAAAAACATGTCAATGAACTAATTCGCAGAGCATATGGATGTTTCAAATGAATTTACGGTAATAGATAATATTTATAAAGAAAAATCAAATAGATGCTTTGCGAGAGCTTGGTTTTGTCCAGTTTTAATTTCGCAGATTGTCTATATGGTCCAAATCTCACAGTTTTTCATAAAAAAATATTCAAAAAATACAAAATTCTGTTTCAGATTAATTTTCGGTATTCGTAGATAGAAAAGCATCACCCATGCGTTCAAAGTTATAAACTGGTTGAATATAGATTATTTTATTCAATTCGGTTTATTGTCCCAAGAAAAAATGAATGCTTATAATTAGGGACTATAACTAACTACAAAGTATAATAAAATAACCGGATGTTTCTCCACTCTGCAAACAATGCATGCTTATAATTAGGGACTGTAACTTACTACAAAGTATAATAAAATAACCAGATGTTTCTCCACTCTGCCAGCTTATATCATAGTATAATTGAAACAAAAAACACCATAGATTATCTCTACAATAAAATTAAATTCCGAATTGATGTATATACATTGAACTTGAGGTTTAAAGGACTTAACACCCCTATTGCATAAAACACAGCAATGTGAAACATTTTACAGTTATTAGATTTCGAAAATTTACAATGAAATAGTTTGAGAGAGATGACGGTAGATAAGTTTAAAAAGAATCTGAAAATGATTCCATTGATGAAACAGAACACCCCTCGATAAGTATGTTAAGATTTTTTTTATTCATTTACTTTTTTATATGTCGCGTTATGAGGTTGAGAGAAAGAGCAGCTCAATTGTATAATCAAACAATATTTCCATATCATTTTTAAACAAAGCTGAACTCCGTCTATTTTGCCAACAACTCATTCAGGTTGGAAACAATTATTTATTATGTAAAATGGAAAAAAGTCAGTATTATTATTATTATTATCATAAATGACTGAATAAGAAACCCATTTCAGTTATTACGTCCTATTTTGAAATTGTCAAATTTTACATTTCTCTAAGAAATTTTCAAAAAATATAGTTTCTTCTGAAAATTTCTGAAAATTCCCAAGAAAAAAGTCGTTCAGTTTCTAATTTTATATCCAACCAATAATTTCAACTTCAATTTTCAGAAAACATATGCAATATTGAACAAAAGTCATTTTTTATTAAAGAAATCAGGATTCTTTGTCGACCTTTTCTTAAATCAAAGTATCTTTCACAAAAAAAAAAGTTTTATTCATCAGTAACTTGTCGTATTGAATAATTTTGGCCATCAAAAAAAGAGCTGAGAAATTATTTGAAAGTTTCTGAAATTTCTTCAGAGTCGGAAAAAATTTAAGTATTATAATCAGTTTTTCTTCAGTGATTATCTTCATTTCCTAACTTCCTTGACAGATTCCAAAACATAAAGTCGTAATTTTATGAGTTCCACAAGGAACAGTTGTTGGACCTCTATTATTCATTCTGTACATAAACAGTCTCATGATATATCGATCTATAGGTGGATGATAATATGGCAATACTTTATGAGGACGAAACTTGGACAGATGTTAAAAATAAAGCCGAACAAGACTCACATGGTGTATGTGACTGGTTCAAATTCAAAAGGTTAACAATGAATGATGGAAAATCACACTATTTAACATTTACATCATATTTCAACTATATAGTTACCCGAATTAGGTCCTTTGTTGATGAACAATGTAACACACATTCTGGAAAAAGATAGTACTCAAGAATAATTATAGGCAGACACTTAAGATGGGATCTTCGCGCTAATCATGTTAAAAATGAGCTAAGGGGGTTGCTTATCAAATTCAGATATCTCGCTGACTTAAGTACAGAAAACCTGAAAACATTATATCTTGTGTTAGTACAATCCCAGTTATCATTTGGAATACTAGGATGGAGTGGCGTATCTCCATATAATTTACATAATTTGAACGTTATGCAAAAGTTGATTTTGAGGATAATTTACAAAAAAAAATATAAGTTATTCCAGCGGCTTATTATTCTTGAAAAAAAGACAAATCTTTACTATCGGATTCTGATCAATATTCACAGAAATAAAATAAAATTACAAGCCATTGAACATATATATCGATGAAACGACATGTGAAAAAACAATTAGTCAACGGTCAGTGGAATTTTCAGCACCAAAAGTTTATAATCTACTTCCTGTTGATATAAAAATGGTTAAATCGTATACATCCTACAAATTCTATGTGAAAAAATGGTTGATGTGTACGAACAGAAAAGTTTTCAACGATCTCATAGACTTAAAACTGCTACGCTAACTAATGAGTTGCATACATCAGATTAACTTATTATTAGAAAGAATGAACTAATTTTAACATATCCGGAAAAACTTCTCGAAATTGACATTACTTAACCGATTTTGGCAATATGAGTACTCTGGCAGTTTTATTCTGATATTTATTCAGAAACTACTCCAACTCCAACTGTTTCATTTTATTTTATCTTAATTGACGTCATTCACAATAATTTTGAATTGTATTTCATTGCTACACTTTTGAATTGCATTTTATTGCTTTACTTGTAATTCAATAAATGTCAGGCACAAGCTCCATAGGCTACAGCGACTTGTCATGTTTAAGTTCAATGGGGGGAGGTCAGCTAATGAGCGGAGTTGGCCTTGGAATGGGAAAGAGGATTGGGTATGGAGGAATTGGAATGGGAGGTGAGTTACTTAACATTATTTTTCATGCAGAGGTGAAATATTTGGCCTGTCTTTTCTATCACTCAAACAATTCTGGATGCTATACTATGTGACCATTTCCTTTTGGGTAATTGGTAAATTCATAACTTTACAATTGTCTTTTGAGCAATCACAGTTTGCTGTAATTGCTAATAAAAGAGCTGTATTGAAAACCAAACTTGTCAACTGTTTGTCCTGTCAAAGAAATGTTTATTCATTCCTTAGTCTAATTCTTTATCGAGAATTTTTCAGGCAGTACATAATTTCTTATTCTTTGCTATTCGAATCTGACTTCTAGTGATTTCGTCTAAAACGTTCAAAAAAACTGGAAAATACCCGCCATTTGCTAGCTCTTCATCTGACAATGTAGACCCCCAATTCACGGCTCTGCAGTGTTGCCAATTGTGGATGTTATTCGCTTCTGCGAAAGTTCATAGCCTACGGTGTTCACTGAATACCACGAGGTATTCAGTGAACACAGTGAATGAAGGAAGGACAAACAAATCAAGCATTTAATTAGCTTGAGGGTGAACGACGTGGAGAAACTTCACTGAAGGGTTACGATATCAACACTTTTTAGGTGCTTGTTACTCTATATATGTTACTAATATAGTAAAATAGTACCATTTAATATGCAATTTTGCCACAAGTTGATTCCTATATACAGATTTACTCCTATATTAGTACTCAACCGTATGAATCATTAATAAGTGACTGATAGTTCTTGAATTCGTAAATCTGAAAAACTATCAGAGTCAAAATCATATCTCAGGAGTATGTTAGATGTGTAATCAACACTTTTTCTTGTGTTTTCAGGAGCAGGAATGGGTTTGGGGCAAGGGATGACTTTAGGTGGAGGAATGGGTTATGGAGGTGGAATGGGTTACGGTGGTGGACTTGGATTTCGCGGTCCCAAAACCTTCGGAAGTAGTGAAATAGCCGGAAGCTCTTTCGGGGGAGAAAACAAGAATCTCAACGACGTCTTCTTTCACAAGGGTTTTGGAAATCAAGGAGGCCAATTCAATCAAGGACAGTCGGGTTTTGCAAAGGGTGAAGGACTTGTGAAGGATATCAAGGGAAATTCTGGATTTTACAGTGGAGCCAACGGTGGAAAGAATATTTTTGAAGATGGAAAAATGTACAGGGGACAACAGCACTTCGGAAAAGAAGGTATTTATTAGGTAGCTCATCAAAATTTAATGAATCTTCGTGGATCCACTGTTATATCACGTGAAAACAGTTTGTACGTTTCATTTTTTTGACAGCTATAATCTTTCAAAAAGTAGGTCAAAGCTTTTATGTATTCAATTTGGAAAAGCAGCACAAATAATGGAATTTTTCATGACATTTTCCTAGTTTCTCAACCTGAAATTAGTTGTAGAGCTTCCTACTTGAAATTTACTCGCTTCTGTTCCAAATTTTTATTCACTGTCAATTTTAAGGTACCAATTTGGGCCAAGAAAATGTTAAGAAGGGACATAAGAAGGGCCATACTGTGAAAGGATTCAAAACATCACATCAAAGCGATGAATCCAGCAACACTGAAGAGGTCTACGACGAAGCACACGACGAAGCTGACAAAAAGGCATTTGCGGGTGAAGAAGGTAATTGCCCTCGTTGTCCTCAACTTTCTCTTTTTCTCTTCCCTTTCTTTCTCAACTCAATGCCTTCCTTTTTCAATTGTTACTCGTTTGAAAACCAGAGACCAAACACCACCACTGATGAGACCTATGGCGAGTCGAAACAGTTTCCTCTAGGGTTTGGGCTCTGATATTCTACTAGTTACCTTCAGTGAAAAAATTCCAAGTCTAACATTAATTATAGTAAACCAAGTGTACCTGAGAATGGAAACCGATCGCGACAAAGGAAATTATAATTTTAAAATAAAAACTAGAACACAACAAAAATGTAAATAGATGAAATTCTATAACAACACAACAGACTAGGCTGAACGAATTTTTCTTTTAGATAATTTGAAATTCTATAACATTAATGATTGTTGTGGTTATTTATAGTGATGTGCGAAGAATTTTCCGACATCACTCCACTGACTCCGTTAGCCCTTTGTAATGACAGTGTAATTATTCTCATTTACTCTTGAAGTAGGTACTGCTATATACATATAACCGCAGGTATTTTAGTTTTTGAGATGTCAGTTGGATTCACTAACATATAACCTTTGGCTATTGTTGATGATCTCCAACCCCCATGACTTTTCAACGTAGTTATAACTGTGCAGAGCCCACTAACAATGTAGCAAAACTTCTGCGGAAACAATGCCCAGTAAATTTTTGTGTATTTGGTGATTTTGATAAATTTGCAATTTCTCCAGACATGTTTCCAAATGAATGGATACCAAACCGTTACTCGTAAGCCTTACCATTAGTGTATTGAATATTACTGGAGTTTTTTCACAACACCAAATCGTTATTTTTAACACATCGACACGTGTTTCGATCACCAAGTGATCATCTTCAACGAGGAAGATTAAAACTAGAAACTAATGCGAGCTAACCCTATTTATGCTATAGAGGTATCTACCTAGAACCGATTTTGTTTCATACACAAATCAGTAAGAGAAACGAATTCATCGATTTCGTTATTATTGAAATTATTTTTCTCTAGTAATTCCCTGAGGTATTGCAAGGTCTGTGGAATTGGGACGCTAGGAAATAAGGAACTAACATCAAAAG